CCCAAGGTCAACGCGACCCCGCGCCCCGCCGCGTGCGTGCAGCTCCTCTTGGACCCCCACCCCGGGCCCCTGCCCAGCACCCCCGCCAGGACACCGCTGGGACACCTCCGGCACCCCACCTGGTGTACACACGGTCCTGCCGGGGGCACAGTGGGATCGGGGTCTGCTTATCCACGAGTAAGCTGGCGCATCCCAGGGTCACCCAGCAGCCAGCGGCTGGGGTAGAGGGGTGCAGAGCTCAGGTCAGCAAGGAGCAAAGAGAAGGGGCCAGTTAGCAGAACTGCAAATAAGGGGACTGGAGGGCAGAATGAGATACCCTTGGGTTGGTGGGGGTCGTGTTCCAGCACAGGGCCCCCCATGGGGGAGGGTGCACTGGCAGAATAAACAATCAATCAATCTGTAAACAGATGTATGAGAAGGCAGAGGTGGTCCAAAGGGGCGTGTGGCAAGGGGGTGTACCTGGAGACTGGTCCCCATCCCAGGGCCTTCGTCCCTGCAGGGGTGGGACCCGGTGTGGGCTTGTGCCCCTAAGGGGAGTCCACTGAGGCAGAGTCTGGAGGGGCATTTGAAGGTTGAGCGGTAAACAAAGGGACCAAGGGGTCTGGGTTTGCAATCTTCTGGTAGGAAAACATTATCTTCCTCAAAAAGGAGTTGTCTCTAAGAATAAATGTTTGCCTTTGGGAAGCATCTGTGCATTTGATGTCTGTGTGTCCACATTTAAGCTAACAGGATACCATCACCCCTCCCTCCTGAAGACTCAGAGGTCAGAGACGCATCTCAGAGAAGATGGGGCTTTGGGGAGCAGCAACAGGACCAGGGGTGAGTGTGAGACTGCCCCAGGGCCCAAGCCTGTTAGAGGAAGGTGCCCTTGATGGGGAGGCTGACACTTAGGCCCCACAAGGAGGGTCAGAGCAGCTGGAGGGTGAAAGAGGCCCTTTGTCAGGTGGTGATCTCCCTGTCACGAGGTGCGTGAGCAGATGGTGGGCTGGAGTCCAAGGGCCCCTCTGGCTCTTGGCTCCTTGAACCTTGCTGATCCACCATCCCCGTGGCTCTGGCTGGGATAGATCCTTCCTGCTTCCTTGGCGATATGGGCACTGCCCCCAAGACCACCTGGTTCCTGCAGAGGCTGGTCCCCTGAGGTTCATCTGCTTCTGGGGCTTGAAGGGCCCCATTTCCCTCTGATTCAGCCCCTCCACTGCACCCCCGGCCACTTGCACCTGGACCATCCCACCTGCCTCCTTCCTGGCCTCCCAGGATTGCCCCTCCAGCCCTCCTTCCACCCTGGAGGTCACTGCTTAGCCTCCTTTACTCCAAAGCCGCCCGTGGCCTCCTGACTTCCAGGTCAGGGAACAGCTTCTCAGCCTGGAGTTCGAGCTCCTCCGGACCCCACCCGAGCTTGCCCTGGTTCCCTGTCCAACCCCGGCTGCCTGGAGCTGTCCTGCAGGCACTGCTCCCTCCAGCCTTATCCTAGGCCCCATGGGGCACCACAGAGGGTTGCCTGGCTCCGGCCCCGCATCCCAAAGCGCTCTCAGCCAGAGATGGAGACAGCTTCGTGGGCAGACAGGTCCTACATTCTGGTCTGGATCGCAACGTCCCAGCTGAGGGCTCCTCTGAGCCTCAGTTTCCCCATCTGTGAATGTAGATCACGTTGTCTAGCCTCTCAGGGTCACATGGCATCCATCTTGTGGGGCTTTCCAGCACCCAGGCTCTTAGAGATGACAGACCCCTCCCTCCCACTCGGATCGCCCGCCTGCCTCTGTGATGGGCGGCTCTGGGCCCAGCCTCGGGCCTCTGTCCAGCCCCCTGGCTCCTCCGGGCGCCAGCCCAGGCCGGAGCCGGCTGACTCATGCGTAGGAGCGTGGGCGCAGGCAACAGTTCCACTCTGCGTCTGCTATTTATAGCTCCAGGGCAAGCTCTCAGCCCTGTGAGCCTGGGGAGGGCGGCCCCAAAGTCTCCTCCTCACTCTCCCCAGGGCACGGGGCCCAATCCCCACCCGAGCACCCCAAACCAGGGTGGCAGCCCTGGCCTTCGTGACCCTGTGGGTTATGCTGGGTATCGCCAGTGCAGAGATGGAAATTGGCTCGCTGGAGGCAGAAGCTGGGCTGGGGCTGGAGCCTGGGTCCATCAGGCTCTGAAGCCACAACCCAGCCTTCCTGCTGTCCCTGGCAGACCCACACCTAGCTGTCCCCATCCCTGATCTGCAGGCGTCCTCTTCAATGCAGAGGGGCAGTCACTTACCTGCAAAGTCCCAGCTCCTCACCTGGCCTTGAAGCCCGTGGGCCTCCTCCCCACACCACTCTGGGCCGGAGCCGGAGAGTGCTCTCCAGGCCCTCCGTGCAGGGAGGAAGGCAGCTCTGCTCTTTCTGTGCCCCCTGGATTAATACAATTATGTGAGCAAAGTTGAGGCTGAGCGCCATGGCCTCTCACAGATGCAGTTTGGCCCACAAAGGTTTTCTGTTTGTTTTTAAGTTTGGCATCAACATTTAAAAATAAGAAGATCGTTTGTCAAAACATAGTTTGCCTTGGAAAAAGGAACGGGCTGGCATCCTGAGCCCAAATTCTGCCCACCAGCACCTGCGGGAGCTGGACCCCAGCCTACAATGGGAGATGCTGGTGCTGGTCCCTCCCTGAAGCCACCTGTCTGGCACCTATGGGTGACCTGAGGTGCCCCTCCACCTGGGGCTGTATTGTCATCACCACCTCTGAGGAGCGGGGTCACTGAAGGCTTCACCATTGGCAAGATGAGCCCCTGCCAAAAACGCTTGGAGCTTTTAACAGAGAGCCAGGGTAGCTTTGATCAGCCACAGAAAATGACTGTGATGTGCAGGGAGACCTCAGGGCCTTTGCACAGGACACTCCCTCTGCTGGAAAAGCTTCTCCCCTACCTTCTGACTCCAGTGAGGCCCTCAGATATATCCTCCCTGACCATAATGCTGAAATAGTCCCCGCCTCCCTTTGTGACTTTCCCTTCATCTGGGTTTTTTCTCTCCAGGGCACTTATTGCATGTGTGTTGATCTATCATGTCACACTGGACACAAGCTGTCTTAGGTTCTGGGGCTGGGGGGGTCTCACTTGGGTGTGACCTTGCTCCCAGGGGACACTGGGAGATGTCTGGGACATCTATGGTTGTCATGCCTTGGGGGGGTTTGCTCCTGGCACCCAGTGGGTGGGGCCGGGGTGCCTCTCCTTACCCCCCAGCACCCAGGACACCAATCCTCCCAGGATGACCTGTTCCCATGCCAGCAGGGCTGGGGGGGACCTGAAGGAGGGCAGTGGGTCTCAAAAGGGTCCCCAGACCAGGGCGGCAGCATCATCTGGGAGTTTGGTAGAAATGCGAACTCTCCAGCCCCACCCCCAGCCAGGAACGCTGCTCACATTCTGCCAGGCACAGCACTGGGCAACAGGGTCCCTGTTTTAGGGGCCAGCTTGTCCGCCTCAGCGGCTGGACCCGAACTAGCTCAGGGGGAGGCCCACCCAGTCCCTGGAGGGAGAGGGCCTGTGAACCTTCCATGTTCTTTGCTCTAAATGTGGCACCTCAGCTGGGCCTCCCAGGCACTGAGGAATCGGGAGCTCCGGAGGGCCCACCTGCCCATCCCATTTTCTCCTGCCAGGCTGAGCACACAGCAGTCACTTCGGCCCGTGTCCAGAACTTCACAGCCTGCCAGGTCAGCTGCTTCTGCCCTGGGAGCTGCAGAGGCCTGGGGGGGGTCAGGTTGGGGATAGGAGAGGGGTGTCTCTCTTCTCCAGCCCAGTCTGGCCTCAGCACCCTAAATGGCCCAAGAATTCTAGGGTTTTCCCACCACCACCCTCACGCCCTGCAGCAGCCCCCCTCTGCTGGAGTCCCGGCCTAGTCCCGGCCTGCAGGCGGCTCTCGGAAGGTCAGATGAGTTGGTCGCTGGCTCTGCCCCCAAGCTGACAGACAGCTCAGGCTGGGACAGGTGGGAGACACACCCTCTCTTCCCGCAGGGCCGAGGGTCCAGAGCTGGCAGTCAGGGCAGGTCGGGAGGCGCTGTGCTTGCAGGGACACACCATCCCATTCGCCTGCTTTTCGGGGCCCCAAGGACTCAGCCAGGCTGGGAAGAGGCGCTCCCCAGCCCAGCCCCACACTAATAACTTCTCCACCAGAAACGCAAACAGCAGACAACAGAAGCCGAGACACGCTGTTATTACGGTTGATTCAATCTGAGAGGCCTGGGTGCCGCCTCCTAATTTTCTCCTCTTTTGTTTCCAGATCAGGGAGGGGAACCCAGGCGACTCCATCCAGCTGTCGCCTGTGCTGTGTGCCCTGTCTCCATGCCACTCGGGCACCGCGGAGGGCGGCGGGGCCGGGCCGGGGGCTCCCTGGTGAAGGGCGACGCTCCAACAGGCTTGGCGGAGGACAGGACCCAAGTTCCACACCAGCCGTCCCACTACAGGGCTCCGAATGGCGCCCCCGCCCTGTGCTCCCACAGTCATGCTGCTGGGAGTCTGCCTGGCTGAGGCCTAGGGAAGTCCAGGGCCAAGCAAGTGGCCACGGGTGGCCCTGACCCAGCAGGGCACATCCGGATAAAGGCAGTGCTTGCAGTTTTGTTTTTTCCACAGAAAGGCATTTGTGCTACTTGGGAACACCCTCATCCAAGTGAAGGTAGCTGTGCCTGGTCTTTGCCAAGAGTGTCAAACAGTCCATCAGCAGGTGTCCGCCTCCCTCTCCTCAGTCTCTGCCTTGGACACGCACACAGAATCTCAAAGCAGCAAAACATCCCTAATGGTGCAGTTGCACAGACATACATGAAGGCTTTCCTGGCTGACGACAGGGATGGTCCTTGGCCTCAGGCTGTGACCAACCCGCAGTCTTATTCAGCCAGAGCTCCTGTCATCACGTGTCAGCGGAGAGGGCATGGAGCCTCTGAGCTGGCCTCAGATGACCCTGGTCTAGGCCAGATATGACCACTCCAGGCCAGGGAACCTCAGCAGTGAGGCTGGCTTCTCCAGGGCCTCTTTCAGATGGGACAACCACGCATCTTCTTACCCCCACACGGAGACACTTTGATCCTTGCCCAAAGTGGGGAGAGATGATGGAAACCAGCCAAGAGACACCATGACCCCTATGGCCCCTGGAAGCAGATCCCAGAGATGACACTTTTCCTCTGACCACAGCAGACAAGAGGGGTGGCCTTGGGGGGCCAGGAGACAGCCTGTGTGCAACCCCCCAAGCTTCTTGGGGTCGCAGCACCCCCAGGGGGCCTGGAAGCAGTTTTGCTGGGGCTGGTGGGACCCTAGAGCCAAAGCCTGGCAAAGAGGTCAGGCAGCTGCAGGCACACAGGGAAACGGGCAACAGGCGGGGGCACTGGGGTTTCCCCTCCTTGCTGGTGTGGGAGCACTCCTCCTGGTCCAGAAGCTGGCTTACAGTGAGGGGGGATAACATGGCCTTGAAGGCTCCAGCAGGGGGAAGGGGGGGTGTGGGGACTGAGGGGAGGACAGGCTTGTGGTATCCCCAAGGCATTCCAAGAAGCTGACGGCTGGGGGGTCAGGACCCTGCTGTGTGTGTGCTTTAGGATCTGGGAACCTTTGGGGCAGACTGCTCTCCCCCCACGGCGGGGTTCCTGCTGGATGCGGCAGGACAGGGGCCCCTGAGCCTTCCTGCGTGGGATGCTCTGTCTCCACCTCGCTCCCGCCCAGCCCTGTTCCAGAGACCACGTCCCCCCAGCTAAAGGCAGGCTCTGGATCTGGTGGCTCCAGTGTCCTGAGTGTCCTGCCCACCAAGGCAAAGGTGGAGTGATGTGGGTGCAGGCGGACGCCAACAATGCCGGGTTTAGGACAAGGTGGATGTGAAGTTCCCACACCTACAGAGGTCACTTTCCCGGCATAGGGACAGGGTCAGGCCATGTGGGGTTCACAGTGAGTCCTGGTAAATCATACAGAAGTTCCTGGAAGCAGGCCCAATTACTTCCAACAGCATCGGGGCGGGGGCCCAACAGAGCAGATGGGGGCCTTGGACACATGGCCCTGCTTCCTGAGACTTGCAGCAACATGGAAGGAGGCGGGGGCCAGGGCCAGGGTTGTGTGCTCTTGTGTCCGGTGCTGCGGCTGGCTAGCACCTGGGGTGCCCCTGGGACAAGACCCTAGAACCCCCACCAGGCCGAAGCCACAGGCTGGAGGCCTTTACAAACCCAGGGCTTAAGGTGGAGGGTGGGGCTTTCCTTGCTGAGAGCTTAAATGGCCTGTGTGTGGGCAACGTGGGTCTGGGCAGGGGCCGAGGGTGAGGCAGGAAGGAAATCGGGGATTCTAGGAGGGTGCGCACCTGGTCCAGCCCGAAGCCGTGTGGAGGAGTGTGGATGTAGAAAGGGTTGAGTGACGAGCAGGCCCTCACTGCCCAGAACAGAGCTGGGGAGGTCGCCCCTCCAAGCTGGGAGGCAGACACTGGGAAGCCCCCTGGAAGGGCCCTCAGCTGCGGCTCATTCCCTGGGGCAGCACCCGTTGCCAGGACTATGTTAACAGAGGTTGTTGCCACGGTGCAAAGCCGCACAGGGCTGCTGGTCTCCCAGCTCCTGCACCCCCAGAGGGAGTCTGGTCTCATTCATGTCTGGTGGGGAGAGCTGCATCACGTGGTCCCTGTCCCCGGCCTGTAGGAGGCCGTCTTGCTCTGGAGACCCTGGGTGTGTGGGCCACCCTGGACTGCCCACACATCTTTCCTGCCCTGGGACCCTGTTGCCCCCGGGGACTGGGATGCTTAGTGGCCCCAGCACCATGGAGAGCAACCTCCCCATGCAGGGGCCCTTATAGAAAGCAGGGAAGAAGAGAGCAGTCCTGAGGCCCCCTGGACCTCGCCCTCCCAGAAGCGCAGCATCGGGTGGCAGGAATTGCAGCCTCCCGGCTCATTGTGGACCAGAGGCTCCTGGCTGGGGAACTCCTTTTGAAAACCGCTCACTGAAACCTCTGCTAACCCTGGGGGCGCACCAGCCACGTGCTGTGGGGCTGTAGCAAAGGCTGAGGGTGCCTAAGGTGTCGGCACCGGAGCCAGGAGTGCACAGGACGGTAGGCCTCGGGGCCTCCAACAGCAGCTCAGCCGGCCTCTCCCGCCCTCGTCCACACCGTGGTGTGCAGGGAGAGGAAGGTCTGGGTCTGGCCCTGCCTCCCATACGAGTCAAACGATTCCCTGGCTAGACGATGACATGGCCACACAGCTTTGGTAAATACTTTTAAGAGGAGTAATTGTAAAAGTTGTAGCGGGGCCCCCAGGCTCGGGGTGTAGGACCCAGGGCGCGGCCCAGTCCCGGGCAGCACCTCTGTGCGCGGACAGCGGCTCTGGGCGGAGCTTGCTCCCTCGGGGAGGCGGGGCCGGGGCGGGGCTCCGGCCGGTGGAGGCGGGGCCTTCACCACTTGAGGAAGACCAGGCCGGCCAGGACAGCGTAGCCCAGCACCAGGAAGAGGACCTTGAGAAGCCGGTCGCTCTTCTCCTCCAGCTCCTTGGCCAGGATCTCAAAGAAGGTGACGAAGAGGAAGGTGCCGCCTGCCAGGCCCTGCAGCAGCACGGAGGCCACGCTGCCAGGCACGCCCTGGGCACTCTGGATGCCCAGGCCGAGGCTGATGCCCAGCGGGATCATGGCGCTCACAGTGACCGCCAGCTTGGCCGCGTCCTTCAGGGTCATGGAGCTGCGGGCCATGCTGATGCCCAGGGCCACGGCCACCAGCGTTTCGTGGATGGCCACGCCCACGAACAGGCTCACCACCTTCTCCCCCTCCTCCTGCAGGCCCAGGGCCAGGCCCTCGAAGATGGAGTGGGCTGACAGAGCGAAGACCAGGCTGAGGAGCCGCAGCGGGCTGGAGCGCGTCAGCTCCTGGACACTCAGCCCATGGCTGTGCGCGTGGGGCGCCCCGTAGAGCGCGTGGCCCCGCGGGCCGCCCATGAAGGGGCTCTCGTACTCCGAGTCGCTGCCCGCGTCTGAGCTGGCGTTGAACGTCTCCAGGTCGATGAAGGCCGGCCTCTCCTTGCGGAACGTCAGGACCAGCTGCTCCAGGAACACGGTCATGAAGAAGCCCAGCAGCACGATGGTCTCGTCCAGTGGGTAGTCGGTGCTGATGTGCCCGAGGCTCAGGACCTTCTGCAGCTGGAGCAGAGGGCGCGGGAGGGGGAGGGGAGGCAGAGAGAGGTTCAGAGGCGGCGGCCGGCCCTCTTCAGCCCACCCAGCAGGGTTTGTCGCACAGCACCGTTCATGAGCAGAGCACAGAAAGAACCCACTCATACACGGCTGAGAAGAGGAGAGGGGGATGGGCTCATCCTTGACGGATTTAAAAAAAAAGAAACAACTCTATGAGAAAGAGAACTGGCCTCATGTCATGTCCACTAGGTCAACCAGTTTCAAAATACCAGAGGGAACTGCACTGCGACCCCTAAAGGATGCATCCGCCAGGAAGCTCAGAATGTGACCTCATTGGAAAGAAAGGTTTTCACAGATAAAATGGAGATGCTGTGAGCTGATCTGTGTCCCCCCAAAAAAGTTTTCTATATTAAGTTCTCCCAACCCCTAGTGCTGCAAAACTAACCATATTTGGAGACAGGGCCTTTAAAGAGGCAATTCAGTTAAAAGGAGGCTGTTAGGGTGGCCCTGATCCACTAGGTCTAGTGTCCTTATAAGATGTAAAGAGACATCCGGGACCACCACATGCAGAGGCAGTCAGAGGAGGGCCAACTGCAGGACCTGGAGAGAGGCCTCAGGAGGTCCAGCCCAGCCAGCACCTTGATCTTGGACCTGTGGCCTCCAGGACTGACATCAAGCAGGCCTCTGGCCCTGATGCCAGTGGAACTTCCCCGACAATCTGTGCTGTGTGACATGGAAGCCACTAGCCACGCACGGCCCATGAGGACTTGAACTGTAGCCGGTGCAGCTGAGGGCCCGCATGTTGAGCTGCATCTCATCCCAAGGCACAGAAAGCTGACTGGCCAGGACGGCAGTGGCAGCCACGCTGGACAGCGAGCTCTGGATGCTGGCCAGTGAGGTGGGCATGGGCTGCCCAGAGCCTGGGTGTTTGTCCCCAGACTCGTAAGAATGTTTGCACACACTGAGACCTTCCCAGCCCCGAGGCTCAGAACACGCCATTGGCTCTGTCCAGGATGTTCCTCCTCCATTTCACTCGTGGCCAGTGGACACTCATGCCCTGGGTCTCGACTGACAGATAATTTCCAAGTGCTCTACCCAGACCAGGTGCCCCGACGCTCCGCGCACAGCACCCTCTCCTGCCTGTCATGGCCTTTGTTACAACCTGTGCTCACACAGAGCACTTCTCAATCCAGGGGACACTGCAGCGTCTGGTGATGTTGTGGCTGTTGTAACTTGTGAGAGGAGGTGTTGACACGAGGCTAGGCCATCCTCTGCGGGCCATCCGGCGCCCTGTGCAGTGCTGAGAGCGGCATTTCTGCCCCTACCCATTCAATGCCAGGGCCCCTAAGTCCTAACAACCACAGATGTCCCAGACATGGCTCGCTGTCCCCTAGAGGCAGAGTTGTCCCCGGATGGGAAGTCTTGTTGCAGCAGAAGCTTGTGTTTCTGTAGAGAAACCGTCTGTTCATCTGCGCAACATCCTACTTCTGCTGTGCCCGTGAGAAGCGTGGCCGACCCCAGAGGGACGAGCGTGAAGGGGGAAAGACAAGGCACATGCATCCGGCCAGGGCTTCGGTGCCATCCTCCGAGGGGTGACCAGGGTTGGGGCAGGCACTCCGGCTAAGGCGTAGGAAGCCCGGGGCAGGGGCGTGGCACCCAAGTGGTCTGGGGAGGATTGACCATGAGAAGGCCACATGTGCTGAAGGGGGACAGGAAGGGGGAAGGTCACTGCAGCAGTCCATGCCTGAGGCAGGACAGTGACATCAAGGAAATGCAGGAAATGGGGGGACCTGGGGGCACAGAAGGCATCAGAGAAGACTCAGATCTCAGCCTTGTCAATGCCAACTGTACAGATTTCCTGTGCTGTGTAGCCCAGAAACATATGCTTAGCAGCGTAAAACAGCACCAACACATCACCTCACAGTCCTCAATGTCAGACGTCCAGGCACTGGATGGGGCCTGTAGATACAGCCAACCACATGGTGGGGAGGCCCACCTGGCTGGTGACTGAGGGTGGCTCCCAGCCAACATTCAGGGAGAAACTGGGCTCTTGGTGTGACAACCACAAAGGAACTGAACCCTCCTTACAACGATGAGTTCACAGGCCAATCCATCTGCAGGTGAACCTTGAGGTGAGACCATAGCTCAGCAGATACCCTGACTGCTGCATCTTAAGAGCCAGGAACAGAAGACCCAGCCAAGTGGCGATCAGACTCGCGACCCACAGAAACTGTGCGGTAATGAATGTGTTGTTTCAAGATGCTAAGTTTGTTATAATTTGTTACGCAGCAGCAGCTAATCACTACAGGAGCTGAAGAGAGTCCACAACTGCCAGCTTCAGGACAAAATGCGTGCTGCCCGGGGTGGGCGGTCTGGTCAAGTAATGACTGATAAGCCTACTAGCTAGGAACCCCAGGTTAGGTGCAACCCTTTGTTTACCAGATAAGACCCAGAGACAAGAAGCAACCAACTCATGGTCACGTAGCAAGTACATTTTCTACTTCCCATCACCCTTAGAGTGTCAAGGCACCCAAGCTCAGAGTCAGAGCTGAAAAGCACCAGAGAGGGTGGAGGGGCAAGATAGGGGTAGGGGATTAAGAGGTACAAACTATTATGTGTAAAATAAATGGGGGGGAGGGTATAGCTCAGTGGTAGAGTGAGTGCTTAGCATGCATAAGGTCTTGAGTTCAATCCCCAGTACTTCCATTAAAATAAATAAATAAATAACCTAATTACCTCCCCAC